GGCAATCCAGATTGTCAACAAGGCCTCTGAAATGACCCAGAATGCCCAGCAGACTGAGAGCGGAGAGGCGAAGAAAATTACGGACACGAAGACAACCAGAGGGCGTTCTTCTAGCAAGACATCCTCTGCCGTTGTTAAGAGATCCAACCGCCCGAGTCAAGGAGCTGGAAACCTGGATCGGACAACTGCGCCACAAAGTTCAGTTGTCCTCAAGCGCGAAGAGATGTCTGCCAAGATCGACGGAGTTAGAGTCATTCTTATTGGTGATCTACACGATCTACCTTTGGTCGATTGGAGCGTCAAGAAATTCAACATCGATGTACGCGACTGGTCATCGACACTGAATGCCGATACCAACTTCGAAACGTTCATGAATGTGTATAACTTCTCGAAGTCGGCCTGGGAGCCGTTGATTGAGCCCTGGCAGCTAGGATTCCACATGGCCAAGGAGACCAACCCGGATGTTTTCTCTTTCGATGTGTATTCGCACAAGACAATGGAGCTTACTATAACATCCGCCACGATTGCACTCGCATCCAAATCCTTCCAGTTCCTTTCTACTGATCAGGATGTCCTCGCCAAGCCAAGAGGCGCTGATGCCCCATACAGAATCCGCAACTACACTGGGTTTGACCTCAGTGTTTGGGCCGATGTCAGCGAAGGAGTGGAAGGCCCGGCGGCGAAACTTACCGACGGCGAAGAAGCCCCATGGCGATTTGAAGATTCCACCGCTATCCGTGAATCGCTGACCCCAGAAGGCCACGGCGGAGTGGTTGGTGTCAAACTGGAAGGCAGTGGCTTCGATAGTATCAGCCGCATTCCTGTCGTGCGTGAGGGCGAGGTTATCTACGCTCTGAAGCCGAAGCAACAAAGTGTTCTTCACCGGCTACTCGTGGAAGTCAAACTGGGACCCGATAATGTCAAGTACATCACATTCCGTTCGCCACTTCTTATCGAGAACAATACCCAAATTCCCGTGGAAATGGGCATTTTCAGCCCCGGAGAAGGCCACTTGCTGAAGATTGAGAAGATTTTGCCTGGGGACGCACGACCGGCACCCGTTGGATCAGCATATCTCCATTCTATCGTTGTTCGTCCCGATCAGGGCTTCGGATATGACTGGTCAGATGAGCGATTGTTCTGGAAGGACCTCATCAAGCGACCTACACGCACGGTTAAGTGCATTAGCGAAAATGGACAGCAGGCTCCTCCTTTCTATTTCCAAGTCAACGCAACGTTTGATAGCAAGGATTCGCTTACGAGCGTGTATCCCTACATGAGGATCCGAATCTTCGCTCCCGTGGAGATTCAGAACCTGTTGCCCTACGATTTCAAGTACCGCATCTACGACAAGAACACCAAGAAGGATTGGACGAACTTCTTGAGGAAGGGTGGCGTCAGCCCGGTTCACGTCGTGGAGCTTTCCCACTTGCTGTTGCTCAGCATTGATCTGCAAGATTCGGTCTTCCGCCAGAGCGAATTTGCTATTGTCAACGGCAATGCCCAAGACTACCGCAGAGAGCATACCTTGACTCTTAAGGATGAGCGAGGTCTTCAACTGAGGTTACAGCTTCATTACTTCAACATTCCTAACAGTGGTGGTGCTTTCAAGGTTTCTGTGTACAGCCCATACCTTGTCTTGAACAAGACTGGCCTTCCTATGGACATTCAAAGCAAAGCATTCCTCCAATCTGCGAGAAATGCCGCTGGTCAAGGACTCAGAGCCGATCCAAGAGACGAGGGCCGCGCACTTCCATACATGTACTCTTATGCCAACGAGGACCAAAGCAACCGATCTATCTTGAAGGTCAGCGATTCTGCATGGAGTAAGCCGCAGAGTTTCGAGGCTATTGGTAGTACCTTTGAGGTCATCTTCCCAGATCGCCAAGGCCGATCTGAGTTCCACTCCGGAGTGTCTGTTGCTGAAGGCGAGGGCAAGTACAAGATGACCAAGGTGGTCACTCTTGCTCCACGGTTCATCCTAAAGAGCAAGCTCAACGAAGATCTTCTGGCTCGCGAGCCAGGCTCCTCCAACGTACTCCAGGTCAAAAACGGGCAGTTGGTACCGCTTCATTTCCTTCGTCAAGTTCAAGAGAAACAGCTGTGCCTCTGCTTCCCGGGCGTCAACAACCAATGGTCTTCCCCGTTCAACATCGCCGATGTGGGAACCGTGCACGTGAAATTGGCCAAGGCGAACCAGCGGCAGAAGTTGATCAAGATTGATATCATCATGGAAGGAGCAACTCTTTTCTTGCACTTCAGCCTTGAGCAACGCAATTGGCCGTTCTCCATGCGTAACGAAAGCGATATGGAGTTCATTTTCTACCAAGCCAATCCAAATGTGGAAGATGATGATGAAGAAGACCAGACTAGCGGCTGGAGGCCGATCCGGTATCGGATTCCCGCGCGGAGCATCATGCCGTATGCATGGGACTACCCGGCGACGAAGAACAAGTCGCTCGTGTTGACCTGCCAGGGCAAAGAGCGCCATATCAAACTTGCCGAGATAGGAAACCTGATCCCAATGCGGATTCCAGCTTCGCAGCCTGGCGAACACCAGAAGATCATTGACATCAACATTGCTGCTGATGGCCCCACCCAGACTCTTGTGCTATCCAACTTCAAACCGTCGAAGAGTATGTACAAGCAACAAAGTAGACAATCCTCCCAGGTCGGCTCCACGGCTGGGTTCGAGATCAAGGAAATGAATTCGGACGTCAACTTCAAGGCCCAACTTCGCCTAGGTGGCATTGGAATTTCATTGATCAACCAGAACCTGAAAGAGCTGCTGTATCTCACATTCCGCGAGATTGAGTTCAAGTTCAGGGAATCGAGGTTGTACCAGACTCTGAACGCAACTATCAAATGGATCCAGATCGACAACCAGCTCTACGGTGGTATTTTCCCCATCTTGCTTTACCCCAGTGTCGTTCCGAAGACTGGCAAGGAGATGGAAGCACACCCGATCTTCCATGCAATGGTTACACGGGTTAAGGACGACTCGTATGGTGTTCTGTATATCAAGTACGCGACCTTGCTATTGCAGCAAATGACACTTGAACTGGATGAGGACTTCGTCCTTGCCATGCTTGACTTTGTCAAGATTCCGGGTGCTTCGTGGGCCGAGGAGCAAGAGGGCAAACTGTGCGATGAAGACCTCAACATTCCAGAGCCGCGACAAGAAGACAATGGTCAGGATGTGTACTTCGAGCTCTTGCATCTCCAGCCAATGCAGATGGATATTTCATTCATGCGCACCGAGCGCGTCAATGTGGAAGATACTATGCAGCCCTCCAACCCGTTGATGTTCTTTGTCAACGTCATGACAATGTCGATGGGTAATGTCAATGATGCACCAGTCCGACTCAATGCTCTGATGCTCGAGAATGCCCGTGTCTCTTTCCCCAGCCTGGTCGCCAATATCCGTGCACACTATACCCAAGAATTCCTGGGCCAGATCCATATCATTCTCGGTTCGGCCGACTTCCTAGGCAACCCTGTCGGTTTGTTCAACAATGTCAGCTCTGGTGTCGCCGCTATCTTCTATGAGCCATATCAGGGTTTGGTCATGACCGACCGTCCCCAAGAGCTGGGTCTTGGTATCGCAAAGGGTGCTACCAGCTTCATGAAGAAGTCCATCTTCGGATTCTCGGACAGTATGGCCAAGCTTACGGGAAGTATGTCCAAGGGTCTCGCCGCCGCTACACTTGATAAGGAGTTCCAAAACCAGCGCCGAATGTCCAAGGTGCGCAACCGCCCCAAGCACGCGCTGTATGGAATCACGGCTGGTGGCAGTGCCTTTGCAACTAGTCTTGCAAGCGGTATCGGTGGCTTGGCACGTCATCCACTGCAAGGTGCGGAGAAAGAAGGTATCCAAGGATTCTTCAAAGGTGTTGGAAAGGGTGTCCTTGGATTGGCTACCAAGCCAGCGATCGGTGCATTCGATCTTGCCTCTAGTAAGTTGAACCATCCCCTTTCTCTAGTATTCATCACTAACAATCCCCTACTAGATTTGGCAGAAGGTGTTCGCAACACCACTACTGTTTTCGATGCTGAAGGTCTCGACCGTGTTCGACTCACCCGCTTTATTGGCACCGATGGCATTGTGCGCCCGTACTCGCAGCGCGAAGCTCTCGGACAGTTCTGGCTGAAGACCACGGACGACGGCAAATACTTCGACGAAGACTACATTGCCCACCTAGAGCTGCCTGGCCGAGACATGCTGGTCTTGTTGACGTACGCACGTATCATGCTGGTGCGCACGAAGAAGCTGTATACTGAGTGGGATATCCGCCTCACGGATATCCAGACCATTTCCAAGGAGCGCACGGGAATGAGTATCACGCTCAAGGGTGGTGCCAACGGACCTTTCATTCCTGTCCAAGATGAAAGCTCGCGGAACTGGCTCTATAGACAGATTGCTGTCGGTAAGTAGTTACTCTGATCATGCTAAACAATGTCATTTGCTAACCAAATACCCTTTCCAGCGGTCAATGCTTTCAACGAGAAGTATAATTCCAGGGGATAGAGACGAAGAGGCATCCCCCCGGGGTTCTTAATGATGTCATGAGATGGACTACTTTCATTTTTGGGACGGGGATTATCAAAACTCACAGAGCATATGAACGGTAAATTGCTTTTGGTTCATCAGCTTATTCCAGTCACGTACATAAGTTGCCTAATTTTTTGCGTCGTGGCCTGTTTTGGTGGCCTTTACTGCTTCTCCTTTTTTGTATACAGCGATGAAGAGTTCGGTTTTAGTGCAATTCTACGATTTGTTTAACATGGCGCAACCATTATCTACCCTGGCAGATATCTCTTCGTAGTCTGGTAACTGCAACAATGGGCGATTCCTTAATTTGCAAATGATATCAAATGACTTCAGATTCTCTAAATTAGACAGTGAAGCAAGTCGTATGTGCCTTCTACATCAACGCCGATAAGTCAAAGCATAAGAATTTTGAGATGTCAACAAGTCAACCACCGTAAATGGATATGAATCATGGAACAGCCCTGTCTGGGCCCATTTGTGGAGCCGTGTTCTTGATCGTATGAAGAAACATAGACGGGAAACAATGTCGACCGTAGCGATCCTCGGATATCTAGAAAAGACGAGTCAGTAAATCACTCCCTAATTCCAAAGAAGCAAAACAGCAGACGAATATATATACTCACTGTTTTCCCGCCCTCGTGCTCCGCAGTCCTGTACCCCAGCCAACGCCTGTACAAATCTTCCGCACTATGCGTCGTAAACATATACGACAGCCGGTACATGATATGGTCAAACATATGATCGAAATTCCAGATACTATCCGGAGCCCCATTAACATTCTCCGGTGGACCGGGGTTGTAGATGCGCGCGAGTTCTTTCGGCGTCCACTGGCCATCCGCATAGATAGGGTGAGGAACATGCACAGCCTTGAGGCCGTGGAACAGAGCCCATGACACACCTGTCATTTCCGACGCAAGTCCGAGACCCTTCGTCGCCTGCGCGTTGTGAATCAGATCGAGTAGACGCTTGGAGTACCGGCCCATGGTGATGACCGCGGCGCGGCGCGGCGTGTACTGGCCGTATCTGAAGTTCCAGACCTTGTCGGGGAATGTCCATTGCGTGCCTTGCGGGTTGAATGTTGGCAGGAAGGTTATGAAGTCTGCTTCTTCGCCGACACCCCAGGTGTAATTGTCATAGTCTGGGGATGGCACTGGTGGGACTGGACCCATTGGTCTGATCCCGGTGCCGGATACTGGGCCCCAGATTGTAAGGTTGGACCTGTCAGATAGGCTGTCGTGTACCATTTGTTTGAATTCGCTCCAGTTGCCGTGTGCGCCGGGGGTGTAGAAGTAGGCGTTGCGTTCCCAGAGGTATTTGCGGGGTTGTTGGCGTGCGAATGAAACTGCTTTGTCTAGGAATTGGTAGATGTGTCCTGTGTGGCGACCATCCATTTCTAGCTGCCAGTAGTAGTCGAAGTGTGGGTACAGCTGGGAGAATATTTGCAGAGGTTGGTGGTGTTGGAGTTGGGGACTGTAAGTGCTGTTAGTAAGGGTGTCTTTAACATCGGTCAATGGGAAATGATTAATTCACCTGTGCTCTTCGATCTTGGGATACCAAGCCTCTAAGAGTTTGTTATTGAAGAACAGAGCCATATTCCGAAATTCCTTCGGGATGGCATTCCGGAGCCGGTTGATGGTCTTGATGTCAGAGAAAATGGGCATCTCGTCCTCCTTGACATGACACAGTAGATAGATCTGATATTCCCCACCAGAATGCAGAGAAAGTTCCATAATCAAGGCCCGAAGGTATTCACGATGGTGAGGCTTCCAATTGAGCCCATTCCAAGCCCGAATCAGCACAGCCGAGCGAGGATGGTACTGCTTCACACCCGAAGCACCTGCAGGTGACTCCCGTGATTTGAGAGAATCCTGGGGAAGGTCAAAGGCTAGTGGACTCTGATTTGAAGAATTGGCGGTCGCAATGGACTCGTATCTGTCTGCGTTTCTTTCTAGACAGAGGTTTTGCAGTCTGTGCCAATCAACCTCGCACCACGGAATTGAGGGAGGGCGCGTGAAGCCCGGTATCTCGTCCTCGCCATCGTCATCGTAACCATATGCCCCGTAGCGGGAGTAACGGTCTGTGCAAACATTTTCGTCTAGGCCCAATGCCTCGTACGATCCGAATCGCGCTGCTGGGAACCCGGCTTGTTGACCCTTGTAGACTTGCATCATATCTTCTGCAGACCTCCGGTTGAGATTACGGCCCCTGGGGCCAAGGCAGGGCTGGAACCTTCCATAGAATCGCTTCTTCCATTCTCGGCTGTTGTATGCTGGGTATGGATCGTAGACAAGTGGGACTGGGTGCGAGGCGTTGACAGACTCGATACTAGTTAGGGTTAGGGTACCGCCCTGATAGAATCGCTTGTCTCTGCAAGGGTTGATTGTTAGCATAATCTTGTATCAACTCACGCATAAGCTGCTTGGGATAGGTACAAACCTCCGATCATGTGCCATGCCGAACGCATCTGGCTCAGGTGAGTGGTCGCCTGCTATCTTGTCCCACAAACCAACATTCCCATGATACTGACCAGGCCGAAGGACCCCGGGGCCCTGTAACGAAGCATAGACAGTCTGGATTATGTCTGTCTCCGGGTACCCGAAGAGATATGAGCTAGTTTGGACAACGGCGACCAGACAGGTAAGATACCCCAGCCAGCGCAACCAGATCCACCGGCGATCCCGTGGAGAGACAGAAGACTTAATGTAAAACGGAGATGGCGTCCTGTTTCTCTTGAGGAGTTTCATAATGAGTGGCAGTCAAGTTACAGGGCGGATAATTGCATTCTTTGGCTCTGAAAGCCACGGGATGTGCGTGGTGTGCGTGGTAAGATGGAAAGGGAAGTGCAGAGGTGAGCAATCAGACTGTATGAACAAGCATATATCAGTGAAAGGAACCAACGGATCTGTTTGACCGTAATGACTGGAAGGGTTTGGTCCTACGATGTCATCACTACGCGGTGTTGACTGCATCTCCGATTAAGATTTGGGTAATGCCACACTAGAATCCAACGTGATAGATAGACACAATAGTATTCTGTCTGAAGTTGTACAAGCCTAATAGCTATATGTTGGATATCTCTTGGAATAATCATGTCGCTAATATATGACCTGTGTGATTGTCATACAATGTATCACGCCGTGGGAGATACAAGTCCTTCGTAAATAGTATTAGGTCTCGGAGCTATACCATATACCATTGAAAGGGACCAACATCCTAGGAGAACTTCCAAAGTCTCACATTGAGGAGCGGATGTCACTCTCATTTCCTGATATGGCTGCTCGTTGAATATGAAGCATTGCTTGGCTTGTTCTTTCACTTGTCACACTCAATTCTTGGGCTTATTAGAAAAGACGCGTATCACGGTGAATTATAGCCTTGATACACAATAGGTCACCCAGAGTATCTATACAAAGAGCAAATAAGCATAGCACAAGTCTTTCATTTCCGTACTAAAGATACACCACCCTATCAGAGAGCTTGGAATATGTACGAACGGCCATTAATCACATTGTCATTAGGAAACCCGCCGCCAATCCAAAGAAACCCACGAAAATTAAATACCCAAGTTCCATTTACGCAAAGTAGCTCTTCCATAGAACACCTGACAAGTCCTCTAGCTGATCCGAGGTGAAAGCCTATATTGAAAATCGTTAGCCATTTGCTTCGAGGTTTGAACCTATATCATAAGTACGAACCTTTGCATCAATATGCCAAGTATCCTGTCTAGTCTTCTTAAACTCGCTGATAATCGACTTCACGCTCGAACCAACGATGCCGGGATCGTTGGCCGCGCGGATACTTAGCGTAGTCAGTGCCTCGGGCATCCAGTGAGGCGGAGGACTGTTGTAAGGGAAGGCCTGGATCAAAGCGCCAAGACCCAGCACAGCACCATGGCGAATGATAATCAAGCGGTTGTGCTCGGGGGTGGGGGTTCCAGCGCCGGATGAGACGGCGGAGGAGGCGATTCCAGAGCGGAAGTTCTTCGGTTTCTTAGGGAGGGGGTTGTCTGCCAGAAGCTTCGTGAAGCGTTCATGGAAGCGACTGACCATCTTTTCCCGCAGGAAGACGGGCGAGCATCGAACCATGCCGGATAATGTGGCCGAGGCGCCAGCACGGACTTCGTGCTGGGGGTCTTCGAGCATGGAGGCGATACACTCGAAGAGCTTGTCGCGGTCTGCGGGGTCGAGCAGGAACAGGCGGCGGAAGTAGATGATTTGGATGTTGATCATAATACGCAGCCGCTGGTGCCATGACGGGGATGACTGTCCGATGCGGATGAGAGATTGAACGAATTCGGAGTTTTTCTCCGCAGGGTACGGAATGTTAGGGAGGTGACGGAAAACGTGGTATGCGAGGGATTGAAGCTCTGGGTCCTCCTTCACATCCATCATGTGCAGGAGCTGCGCGGTGAAGACATCAGGGAAAAATGGGACAAGCTGGGTACACTCATGAGAAGACAAGGTCGAGTCCAACCAAAGAAGAACAGTTTTGCTACCCGAGGTGTAGGATGAGGGTGTCTGTTGGCCAGGAGCTCTGGCCTTCCGCCATTCCTCGATTCGACTGAAAACCCCATGAATCACCTTGGTAAAGTCTTTAGTAGGCGGATAGGGGTATGCGCCAACAGAAGAGGATGATTTCTGGGCCTCGAGAAGATGCTGAACATCAGGGTACGACTCGTGGTATCTCGTGCGATAAATCGTTGCAAGAGTTTGACCCATTGCCTCACGGACGCCCTTGTACGGGTGGTCCAAATGCGCAAGGAAATCCTTCACAATGGGCTTCTCGAGCTGGTAGTGCCAACCGGAATCAATGATACATTGATGCAGGAGGTTGATCTTAGAGCTTTCCTTGAATGCTGCGTTGGTCGACATATCAAGACGGAAGCTGGACAACCAATCGACCAACGGCCAAGCGCGGCGGGGATCACGACATTGAAGGATCATGTGAAGGAATGTTGTCCAATAGCCAGAGTTCTCTGGAGTAAGGCCATCGGTGAAAACCTTTCGTACAATAGGGAATGCATATTCCCAGACCATAGTCCGCTTCTCCACGCCTGTATCCGTCACCGAAGATATCAAAGCTCCGAGGATTTCAGCCGTGGCACGATGTTGGTGCTTATCACTGCCGTCTCCAAAGACGTCCTTAATCTCCTCTTGGATTTCCTCAAACGAGACGACTGTAAGTCCATCTCGGATCATGAGCTCGAATGCGTAGAGAAGCATCATAGCACAGGACATGCGGAACTTGTCAGCAGATGGGTCCCGTGGCTCTTGCTTCAAGTACATGAAGAATTTGGAGAACCACTCGCGAGTAAACAACTTGCCCATCTTGGTGCGAACCTTCCATTCAACATCGTCATACTCGATATCCCGTGCTACATTAGACTTGTAAGCCGGCATAGTCTTGCCCCACACAAGCCAGCCCGGGAAGTCGTGATCAACGTAGTACTCTGCCTCAGGCTTTGCAAAGCTAGAAAGGTATTGTTCAGTGTATCCTTTCTCAAAGGGTTTTGTTGCAACCTTGATCTTGGACGGGAAACGCTGATGGCCAAGAATATAGTTCTTGTACTCGTGCGTGCAGATGGCCCGCACATCAATCATCGTGAACAGCGCTATGAGAGCCTGGGAGTACATGCCTCGCAAGCCAGGGTGGTCGTCAATAGACCCGAGTGTCATCAGTTCGATCAAATTATCGCTGGCGATATAGTCAAAGCGGAGACCCATAGTGATAACGATAGTTGCAGCGCGACTGGCAATCTTCCAATGGGACACCCGCGCCAGGTTGACCAGCTCCTCGGAAAGGTCGGCTTTCTTCTTCTCGATAGCAACACGCTTGCTGTTGACAACTGCGCGCTTTTTCTCGATCTGCTTGCTGACATCTTCAATAGGAGCAATTGCCTCTACAATCTCTTGATCTAGGATAGCCATTCGCTCCATCGCGCGACCGTAATCCATGACCTGGAAGACTGCGGTGGAGCAAATCTTCTGGACAGAAGGCTTATCAACGGCGCTGGCATCAATAAATGTTCTGACCACGGCAGGCGCATACTTCCAATGCCGCCCGACAGTCTTGGCTACACTGCTCAGAAGTAGCGAGTAGAGTGCTCCTTTAATGCGTGCATGATCATTTTCCTTGACACCCCTCTGCAGAGCCGTGAGCAGAGGAGGAATGACGAGTAGTCTGCCGCCATAGACCGCTTTTAGTGCCGATTCGCCTGCGTTTTGAGCATTGCGGCGCGTTTCTGTGTAGAGCGAGACACAAGATTCGGCAATATCAAGAAGAAGAATTTCATCAAGCTTAGATCGCGGACGGGGAGAAGCGTTGTGTCGTAGGCGTTGGAGGTGATACACGTTGGCTCTGCGCACAAGCAAGGGTCTGGGGTAATCTTTTCGCATACCACTCATCTTGTAAGGATGAATGTCCGCGGCTAAGAGGCGAGTCACTCGATCGAGTACATGAGCGGACCTTTCAATGCCCACATCAACAAACCACGATCTAAAGGCAGAGTACAAAGCGCCAAAGCAAGGAACATCATCCTCTTGCTTATCGCTCAAGAACCGGTGTACATCATGCAACACCCAGCCAGTTCGTTCACGGAGTTCATGGATGGTAGTGTATAATGGGTCTCCCTCTTTGAGGGCGTACCCAGTTGGATATGTGAAAGCCTGTCTGATTATAGCATCATCAGAGCTGTCCAGGACAGCATCTTCATCATTCTCATGGTCATTAGAAACACCCGAATCATCCTTCATCTCGACATCCCCGGAGGTACCGTTCGAGGGTCCTTGTGTTGTGGTTGATGCGGCTTTGGGATCAAAGAGGACAGAAACTCCAGATAACACGAGCCGCAGGAGTACGAGGTTGCGAGTGACCTCGTCTGACCAGTCCTTGCCGCTTCCATCACGCTTAACGGTTGATGTCTCATGAGTCAGCGCAGATAGGGACTTCAAAGCCGTTTCTGTTTGGATTTTGAACACGTCGACAGCAAACTCAATTTCCTGGTGCGTCGGCACATGCCAATTGATGGTGAGGTTGTTCACATCGGCTTGGTAACTCCAGAGCTTCGGCTCGATGCCGTTCGCTTTGACTGAAGGCTCGTAGAGTGAGAAATCATTAGTATAAGTCCCAGTCAGGTTGAGCAAAAGGTGGTGAATGAAGTTGGAAATATGAACTGTAGGAATGCCACGGCAGTTCTGTTGCATATAGACTGCAATGTCAAACAGTTCTTGGCGGTGAGTAATGACGGCGCTGCCAACATGCACCACGCACATGCTCAGCATACTGACATTCCATACCAGACTTCGATCACGAGGCAAAACATCTGTTCCTGTGGTTCGGGTTGATCCAGCACCATTATCTTCGATCTCAGTGCGGATAGCTGAAGTCAAGACAGGGATGAAACGCTTGAGGGCCTTCTCTGGGTTGACTTTGCATAGGGCGTTGCAGATGAAAGCCATTGCATCACGAGCCTGGTGGATGACATGGTTGGACACGAAATCCACAATCTTCCCCAAGGCGATATCGTAATACTCCGGAGAGAGAGAAGCGAGCAAAGGCATGAACGTGGCGGGAAGAGTGTTCACGATATTCTCTTCGGGTGAACCGTTTCGAACCCTGGATACGTCCGGCAGATTCTCCAAGAGTGTGAAGACACGACCTAGGAAAGCTATCGTGAAGTCTCCGAAACCACATGTCGAAGAGCGCAAGATCAATTCCTCGGTCTCGTCATCTAACTCTGTATCAT